AACATTAATCTGATCTGTTTCCTGGTCTAGGATCTACTACTACCTAATTAGCATTGTGACCGTAGGCCAATCAGCCTTTCTCTGCCTGTTTCCTAGTACAAGAATTAAATGAAAGGTGATATGTGAAGTCATGATATTGTGAAAGATAATTTAGTCTTTGTCCCCATTTCCTGGTATACAACTCCTAAAATCCTTGGAATCTCCAAAGTCATATGTTTCTTTGTATGCTAATGAGTTGACTGATGATTGGCAGCCCCTTGGTAGCTCCAGGAGGGATCTGATCAGAGACAACCAAGGAAGGATTAGTCAAGACTTTCAGCCCCACAGCCCAACCTCAGGGGAAGAGGGAGGGGCTGAACGTTAAACTGATCACCAATGGCCAGTGATGTAATCAGTCATGCCTACACAATGAAGGTTCTATAAAAACCCAAAAAGACTGAGTTCTGAGAGGATCAGGAAAGCTAGAAGCTATTCCTGGAGGGTGGTGTTCCCAGGAAGGGCAGGGGAACTTTGTGCCCCTTTCCATAGCTCACCCTGTATATCCCTTCATCTGTATCTTCTGTAATGTCTTTTGTTTGTTTGTTTGAGACAGAGTCTCACTGTGTCACCCAGGTTAAAGTGCAGTGGCGCAATCTTGGCTCATTACAACCTCTGCCTCCCAGGTTCAAGTGATTCTCCTGCCTCAGCCTCCCAAGTAGCAGGGACCACAGATGTGCACCACCATGCCCAGCTAATTTTTGTATTTTTAGTAGAGACGGGGTTTCAACGTGTTGGCCAGGCTACTCTCAAACTCCTGGGCTCAAGTGATCCACCTGCCTCGGCCTCCCAAAGTGCTGGGATTACCATGTGTGAGCCACCTTGCCCAGACTGTAATATCTTTTATGGTAAACCAGAAAAATGTGTTTCCCTGAGTTCTGTGACCTGCTCTAGCAAATAATTGAACCTAAGGAGGGTTGGGGCCTCCCCAGTTTATAGCCAGTTGGTTAGAAGCGCAGGAAGAACCTGAGGCTTGCTATTGCCATCAGAAGTGAGGGGCAGTCTTGTGGAACGAAGCACTCACCCTGTGAGATCTGATGCTATCTCCAGATAGATAGTATCAGGATTGAACTGGAGGACAGCCAGCTGGTGTTCGCTGCAGAATTGATTGTGTGCTTGTTAGTGGGGAGAAATCCCCACACGTTTGGCTGTAGAAGTCTTCTGTGTTGATTATCGTGGTGTGAAAGCAGAGGAAAAGGAGTCAGTGTTTTTTCCACTCTCAGAAATAGCATCAGTATATTTTAAAAGTTCCCTGAGTGATTATAATTTGCAGCTGGGGAAGAGAATCACTCTGATACTACATCCTACAAAGTGCTGGGAAGTGGTGTTTTCATTCTGTGCCATATATTCTTAGCTACGAAAGGAGACGGGCTAGTTTAAATTCTAATGTATTTTTTATTTAGTATTTGTAAGCATTGGCCAGTTGTCTCAGTCTCTTACGAAAGTGTTTTTTCAGGCAGCTTGTATTGCCTGCTGGGATTGGGGAAGTCCTCGGTTAGTTTGGAATTTTCCATGACTCTTAGCTCTGCACCATTAGCGTCGACTTCAGTCACAGAGCTTTTGAGTGTATCTGCCTGTGCTGTTCTCCTCCTCCTTTTTTTGTAATGTCAGATGGATGTTAAACCTCAACTACAAGTCTTGGTATTGTGTTTGTGTTTAATACCCTGGTTCTGAGTATGGATCAGAGAATCTCATCTGAATGAACTTTTTGTTTATTAAGTGAGTGAGCTTGAGCTATTTTGGCCTGGTTTCCTCAGATGTCATGTTTCCTGTCACAAAATCACCTTTTGTTTCTGTAGGCACAAACTTCTGATGCGGTGCTGGCTCATTCTCCAGCGATCTCTCCATTGGTGATCAGAATCAGTCTTTTGATCCTTTGATTGGAAAAGCTCTAAAAATGACAGCAAATGGGAGAAAAGAGATCCACCCAGATAATGACCTAGTCGAGGTTTGGCTCGTTCCCCTCTTATAGGGAAATTTAAAGTCCTGAAAGTTTAAAAGGAGACTGCTATAGTGATGTATCTACTTTTCCTTAGAAAGCGATTCCTGGTCAGGCACGGTGGCTCACGCCTGTAATCCCAGCACTTTGGGAGACAAAGGCAGGTAGATCACGAGGTCGGGAGTTTAAGACCAGCTTGGCCAACATAGTGAAACCCTGTCTCTACAAAAATACAAAAATTAGCCAGGCATGGTGGCCCAGCTGCTCCGGAGGCTGAGGCAGGAGAATTACTTGAACCCAGGAAGTAGAGGTTGTAGTGAGCCAAGATTGCACCACTGCACTCCAGCCTGGGCAACAGAGTGAGACTTCATTTCAGAAGAAAGTAAGAGAGAGAAGTGGGGAGGGACGGAAGGAGGGAGGGAAGGAAGGAAAAGAAACAAAAAGAAAGAAACTGATTCCCTAGATTCCATGCAGAAAGGATAGCAGTATGGACCAGGTACGGTGGCTCACGCCTGTAATCCCAGCACTTTGGGAGGCCAAGGTGGTGAAACCCCATCTCGACTAAAAATACAAAAATTAGCCAGTCATGGTGACAGGCATCTGTAATCCCCGCTACTCAGGAGGCTGAGGCAGGAGAATTGGTTGACCCTGGGAGGCAGAAGTTGCAGTGAACTGAGATTATGCCACTGCACTTCAGCCTGGGCGACAGAGTGAGACTCCATCTCGAGGAAAAAAAAAAAAAAGAAAGCAGAATGTTACTAAATTTCACTTTCCCAGATCAGTAGTTGGAGGTTGGTTGGGTTTGTTTACCTTAACCCTGCCCTTCTCCCCCCACCACTGCCCGCCAGTGAGAGAAGTTCAAATTCATACACAGTAGACCTTTGAATAAGTGGATGTTAGAGGTTCCGATCCCCTGCACAGTTGAAAATCCATTTATAACTTTTAAATTCTCCCAGATTTAACTACTAATAGCCTGCTATTGATCAGGGGCTTTACCAATAACATAAACAGTTAATTAACACATAGTTTTTATATGTATTATATTCTGTGTTCCTATAATAAAGGAAGGTAGAGAAAAGAAAATGTTAAGAAAATCATAAGAGAAAATATATTTACTATTAAGTGGAAGTGGATCATCATAAAGGTCTTCATCCTTGTTGTCTTCATACTGAGTAGGCTGAGGAGGAGGAAGAAGAGGGGTTGGTCCTGCTGTCTTACCTGTGGTAGAGGCAGAAGAAGGGGTGGAGGAGGTGGAAGGGGAGGTAGAAGCAGGAGAGGTGGGCATATAAGCAGACCCAGGCATCCAAGTCAATCTACATGGTTCAAACCTATGTTGTTTCAGGGTCAACTGTATTTCGAGTAGGAAGTAAAGGCAGTGTGTATTCTGCATCATTCCCCCGTCTGCTCAAGCGTTACCTCCTTCCCTGACCACCTGTCAAAGTAATGCCTTCACAATTCTCTATTCCTTCTCCCTGCATGATTTCCTCCGTAACAGTTATCACCTGACATTATATTATGTAAGCTCTGTGAGGATAGGGACATTTCATTTTTCTTCACTGTATTTCTGAGGCCTGGAACCTAGTAGGTGCTCATTAAATATTCCTTTAGTAAGTGAAGAATGGTTTGAATAGCCAGATATTTGCATATTGTCTTTTTGTTCTTTGCTTTTGTCTGAGCTCAAACCTTATTTGGCATATGAATTACCATATCGTATATAAGACCCTTTATGTAGAACTTTGTAATATAAGAAAATTTAGGGCCGGGCGCGGTGGCTCACGCCTGTAATCCCAGCACTTTGGGAGGCCGAGGAGGGTGGATCACGAGGTCAAGAGATTGAGACCATCCTGGTCAACATGCTGAAACCCCGTCTCTACTAAAATTACAAAAAATCAGCTGAGCATGGTGGCGTGTGCCTGTAATCCCAGCTACTCAGGAGGCTGAGGCAGGAGAATTGCCTGAACCCAGGAGACGGAGGTTGCGGTGAGCGGAGATCGCGCCATTGCACTCCAGCCTGGGTAACAAGAGCAAAAACTCCGTCTCAAAAAAAAAAAAAAAAAAAATTTAAAGATAAACCTATGCTATTTTTCTTTTCTATTTTTAGAGATAGGGTTTAACTCTGTCACAGGCTGGAGTACAGTGATATAGCACTGCAGCCTTGAACTCCCAGTCTCAAGGGATCCTCTTACCTTAGCCTCCTAAGTAGCTGTGACTGCAGGTGCAAGTCAGCAAACCTGGCTTATTTTTAAAATTTTTTTGTAGAGACAGATTCTTACTGTGTTGCCCAGGCTGGTCATAAACCCCTGACTTCAACTGATCCTCATCCTTTCGAAGTGCTGGGATTAAAGACATGAGCCACTGCATCCAACCTATTTTTCACTTTTAACCCTGAAGTAAGATATGACACCATTGTACTTACTTTATAAAAAGTTAGTCTGTAATACAGAGCAATACCTTGTTATTTAGATTCTGAAGTAAACTGGGGACAAGGTAAATGCCCATTTTGTTAAGTTCCACAATAGGATGTGTTACATATTTTAGTGGCGATGGGGATTAGAGAAGGGGATCTTACATGTTATAGTCTACTTGGAAGATGATAAGCTGAAATCAAACCTTTCCTTTATCAGTAAAAATGAATGTGTCATATAGGTTGTGGGTCTTAAGATTTGGAGAATGGATAAAATAAGACCTATTTTTCCTGAGGCTGGATGTTATGATGATGATAAATTGATATTAGGTGAAAATACTTTGAAGCAAAGATATCATGAATTCAGGAAATCTTGGATATTTGGAAAGATAATCAGGTAATGAGAGAAAAGACAGAAACATACTGTGATGAAGCCTCACTGCCTTGTGATATGTCTCAAGATGAAGGCAGGCTACGTCCTGGGAAACGTTTTGTTATCAGACATGCTGCTGTTAGCACAAGGCATGTGGAAGGTTTGGTATGAATGGAATAGATTTAAATTTCGCTAGTACACTTTTTCCATGCTAATTAAAAATGGTCATGTTCCAACATGATTTCACCACTTTATTGTTGTTCCTCTCCCATCCTTCTTTTAGTTGGCTAATTGCAATTCTGGCCCAACTCAACCCTCTCTTTGGACCACAGTTGAAAAACGAAACCATCTGGTATCTGAAGCATCATTGGCCTTGAGGAGGAAGACATGTTCTACAGCGCTCAGTCTTTGAGGTGACTATGTTTGTGACCTTTCCCATCAGTATGGTCAGGAAGTCAGAGTTTGCTGTGACTTTTTCTATGCATTTTATGGCCGTTTTAACACATGACGAGGGCAAGCTGCTGAATGCAAACACGATCGGAAGAGCAGAAATAAATTTGGTACTTAAGCCATTCACCTTACCTAAGTCTCAGTAAGATTCTCTTTAGATTCTGCTATTACCCTGCCTTTTTAAGTAAATACAGTTTGATTTATAAAATTAAGCTTGCATGTACGTTTTCAGACACAGATCAAAAAAGTAACTGCTTAGGGCCGGGTGCAGTGGCTCATGCCTGTAATCCTAGCACTTTGGGAGGCCAAGATGGGTGGATCACCTGAGGTCAGGAGTTCAAGACCAGCCTGGCCATCATGGTGAAACCCCATCTTAAAAAAAAAAAAAAAAGTAACTGTTTATACTTAGCATTGTGAGATCCAGCAACTTTAAAAAGTGGCTGGCAGATTTAAAATTGAGCAGGTTTCTTTCCAGCAGTAGTCAGCTGTCCGGACAGAACCGTTCCTGTGATGGTGTTACACTGCTGGGAGAGGAATGTCTTGTCTTCATCCGGTTGCCTCCGCCACTGTTCTGGTGGTGTCTGGCACTGGCGCAAGACAGAGCTGTGCTTCCCTGAGAGTGTGCTAAGCATTCACTTTGGCTGCTTAGTTCTAGTCTGGGAGCAGACAGAAAAAAAAATTAAGAAGGTTTCTGAATGCTTTGGTTGAAGAAAGGTGCCTGTGTTAGTTTGTTTTGTGTTGCTATAAAGGACTACATAAGACTTGGTAATTTATAATTTATACATAAACATGACACCTGCATCTGTTTGGCTTCTGGTGAGGCCTCAGGAGGGTTTTACTCACGGCAGAAAGCAAAAGGGGAACAGGCATGTCATATGGTGAGAGAAGGACCAAGAGAGAAAGGAGGAGGTGCCAGGCTCCTTTAAACAAGCAGCTCTTGTGTGCATTAACAGCTACTTCACTCATTACTGTGGGGAGATGTGTTAGTCCTTTTTCATGCTGTTGATAAAGACATACCCAAGACTGGATAATTTATAAAAAAAGAGAGGTTTAATGGACTTATAGTTCCTTGTGGCTAGGGAGGCCTCACTATCATGGTGGAACATGAAAGGCACTTCTTATCAGAACCAAGCAAAAGGGGTCTCCCCTTATAAAACCATCAGATCTCATGAGATTTACTACCATGAGAATATGGTAGGATTTACTACCATGAGAATATGGTAGATTTACTACCATGAGGATATGGGGGAACCGCCCCCATGATTCACTTATCTCCCACTGGGTCCCTCCCAAAACACATGGGAATTATGGGAGCTATAATTCAAGATGAGATTTGGGTAGGGTCACAACCAAACCATATCAAGAGGGTACCAAGCCATCCATGAGGGATCCACCCCCATGACCCAAATACCTCCCACTAGGCCTCACCTCCATCATTGGGGATCACATTTCAACATGAGATTTGGAGGGGACAAATAATCCAAACAATATCAGTGCCTTATTTATTTATTTATTTATTTATTTATTTATTTATTTATTTTTTGCGGCGGGGGCACGGAGACGAAGTCTTGCTCTGTCACCCACGCTGGAGTGCAGTGGTGGTGTCTCAGCTCACTGCAACCTCCGCCTCCCGGCGGAGTTCTCCTGCCTGAGCAGTTCTCCTGCCTCAGCCTTCTGAGTAGTTGGGACTACAGGCGCATGCCACCCAGCTAACTTTTTGCGTTTTTAGTAGATACAGGGTTTCACGTGTTAGCCAGGATGGTCTCGGTCTCCTGATCTTGTGATCCCCCCGCCTCAGCCTCCCAAAGTGCTGGAATTACAGGCGTGAGCCACCATACCTGGCCCATCAGTGCCTTTTGAAAATCAGTTATAGCTTCTATTTTGTTCTGAGGGTCAGAGAGATTAGGAGTGGTATAGTGGAAAGATTTATTCACTGGCTCTTATTTAATTTGTTGTGGTGTTTTCATTATTTTGTTAAGTGGAGGTTAGCTTTAAATGCCTTGACTAGATTTGGGCGCAACTTTTTTAGCTTTTTCGGTGTTACTGTAAACTGTGTATTGCCTCCCATCAGGAGAAACAGGATGTCTGACTCTCCTATCTTTAGTAATACTAATGTGATCACTGGGTTCAGGTCAGGTTCCTTCAATTGTAAAGTTCTTTTTTGTCAAGTGATTTTATCCATGGATGATCATAGCCTGAATTAAT